TGTTATGTTCAAGGTAATGCAGTATAATACTGCATTCATAAAATGTATTCATAAAATATCATCTCTTTACAGGCCTACATGTCCCACGAGTCTTTCCCTGACACTGGAGCGGTCATTGACTCCACCCTCGGATTCGCCACCAAGATGCATTACGTCAGAGGACCCGGTGTTGTGCTGAAGTAAGTAAAATTATTAGTACGCTCTGATTTTCAACCTGCGACAGCTCTCGCCAGCGTGAAATTTAGAATGTTTCTCTCGTCTAGGCTCTGATATTTTATGACTGTTGGGGTAAAAGTTGTAATTTTTTTTTAAGAAGCCTGTGTACCTTTCGCTTTATTTTATGCCTGTTCTAAACATCTTAAGCAGTAGAATAGATTTCAATTAGCGACAGTGATACATATGGCCAAATTCACCGGAACTGCCATTAAAATGTATGAGTGTTTTTAGATCACAACTTTACCGTTACTACTCATGATGATTACGTAAAAATTTAATTAACCTGCTTACTAGTAAGTACAAAACTAGTAACGGAATTAAAAAGTATACTTGTCTATGAATGTCACAGTTCGTTGAGCTGATTAAAAACGTAAATGCGGAATAATACTTTTTGCTGGACATTCCTTGATTATTGCATGGCTACATAGAGTATAAGCCTTCTTAATAGCCTATTATAGTTTTCTTTATGAGGACTAAACGAGCAGCAAAGGCATACATGAATTGGGAATCTAATTTTTAGTTCGATACAAATCCCCAATTTTATAAATTGAAGTATACAAATGACAGTAACACGTCCGAATACTCAAAGGCTACTGAATTTTAAGTCGGTTGCGGTCGGTAGCTCTGTCACTAGTAATTCTGTGTAAAATAAAAATACTAAACTTATAGTGGTTCAGTTTCAGCTAGAACCCAACGAACTATTTAGTCACATTTATCAGCCTCGAACCATGTACCAATAAAAGGCATTTAGATAAAAAATAAATTTACAATAGGTGCTGTTGCTTATCATTATATAATAAGTTCTTATCACACTGCTGCCAATGTTATCTAATAAAACTTGGATCTATTTGATTACAGAGTGGTAAATAATAAAAACAGATAACAATTTGTTTGGTGCAAGTACTATCGGGAAAGTGTATAGTACACTTTTTAAACAAAATCCTGTGGCAAGCTCGCTATCCACCTGGCATTTTCCCTGCGATCACTCGCGTCGAGTGCATGCGAATATCGCCTAAAGGTGGTCGCCCGCCGACAATGTCGATTGTACTTAGCTTATGACGTCATTGTATACCACGCTTACACGCGTAAGAATAGACTATCTGACTCCTTTTTTGACTAATTGTCGATCTGCACAACGCAGTTTCCCTTTTCTTAGCGGCTACATATACAACAAGGCAAACAATATACTTAACATATATCCTCTGTGTAAATCTAAATGTAAAAAAACGGTCAGGAACTGGCTTCTTGACATGGACTATGATAGCACTGAAGAATTACTGCACGTTTTATCTTAAATCTCGCATAGGTACATTGTTGGGTACTTCGTCGTTGTCGGCTTTCGGTAATGTCTACATATTCTTCACAGCACACCAACTTACATACACAAACACACAACTTCAGATACACTCACACTAAAGACATGAACACTCACACACTGTACATTCATTTTCACAATTGACAAACACATTCTCATCATCCATTCTCATATAATCCACTCTGGTTTGGTGTTGGTCTACCCTCAGACCACGGAATTTGTTTCTTTTTATTGCTTGTATTCTATTGCATTATAATTACCTACTATATTATTGTGACATCGGGTGTGAACCTGGAGATCTGTCATACAGGTCTTGAACCCAGTATAGACTCCAGCTCTCACAAAGGTTGAACCTATTGTAACTTAAATAGTGATATAATGTTTCTATGTATGTACCTTTTTGAGAGAAATAAATTCCTTTATTATTATTTTATTATCTATTCAAGCGAGATGTTTCTAAATTATCTATGTTAAGGGTCACAGAGTATGAACTTAGTCTTTGTTAAGTGGCATTAATATTCATTTCTCTATTGAGGTCAGGCATCTCTTAATTGCTTTGTTTATTTACACATAATGTTTTTAAGATTATACGAAATATCCTACGTATTAACTTTTCTTTTTTATTTTTTATATCTATTTGATCATATAACATCATAACATTCCGCCTTTTATCCCCGAAGGGGTGCATCAAGGCAGAGATGCACATTATGCCACTGTCCAATGTAACACCCACTTTTCAGTATTTAAGTTACGAGTCCCATGTAATAGGGGGTGAGCCTATTGCCATCAATACATGGGTGTTACATTGTACAGTGGCATAATCCCCGTATATGGATACGGGCCCATTCCAGACTCCGTGCTACTACTGAGATTTTTTTAAAAACTCATGAATACTTTGTCCTACCCGGGAATCTAACCCGAGACCCCTTGCCCGGCAATCGCACTTGCGACCACCCGGCCAACGAGGCAGTATCTGTTTGATCAAAGTTCCTCAAAACCTCTTCAATGATTTACTTCTTCTCTGTCGTATCGCTCTTGTATTTGTGTTGGAGCTCGATACTGCTTTCGTGTTGCCGATTTGACTTGATCAGTCCAGCGCATGGGTGATTTGCCTCGTGATCTGGCCCCTCTACTTTCCCCTGACGATTTTCAATTTAAAGATTCAATGATTTAGGAATGTATTAAATAAACACTAATTTTTCTTTTAAAAAGGACACCATTTTGAAATAAATTTATTCAAACACTGCTAGGTAATTATGAAGATAAATTCGTGATAGACAGTAATTTATCAAAAATCGTCAGCTTCGTAATGTTTTCAATATGAATAAAAATATGAGAATACCTCTTTATGTTGATTTAAAACCTGTTCTCGTCATTACTTGTCATGAAATACGTATTAGGTAACAGTAGATTCAAGGCTAATAATTAATTACACAAGGCATTCATTTTTAATCGTAATTTTAATTAAGTCGAAAACAATGATTTTGGTTTTTACGGGACTGTTATACATTATCTTTAATATTGTACAATTTTAAACGTTCTATAGTCTTTTCGAGTCTACCTAACTACAGTACTTGGCGATAAAATATAGCATATTGACTTTTGGAAGGGGACCATCTTTGTGTAATATTAAAAAAAAATTATGATTCGAAGAGAATGCTTGACTAATTACACATAATCATGACCAGTATACGCGGCGACTTAGACAATTGTCTCTTTTCATAAGTCTATGTGCTATATGTATGGCCTGGTACTGTACTGTACTTAAAAATCTACCCTACCTACCACTAGCCTTTACTCATTTAACTGTGTGATGTGGTATTCTCAACTTTATTTTATTAGCTTATGATCTATGTATATTCTTTTGTTACCAGGAAGAAGCCATCCGACCCAGTGACCATTGAGTCAGTCAAGGAGTTCTGGCCTCAGGCCATGGACATGAAGAATGCTTTCCACTTGGATAAGATGGCTGAAGTTACCGTGGACCTGGTTGAAAGGATTCAGGTAATAATAGTAGTGGTTCTGTTTCTGGAGCCCTATCGAACCTGCTGGTAGCTTGGCTCATAAGAACTTAATTAATCTTTATTTCCTTACCTACATACCGAATGGTTTTGCTGTTCCGTACATCGTATTAATATTTGTGAAAGCTTAAGAATGTATGAATATTTTACGCAAAAAAAAATATTATAGTCTGAAATAACACAGTTTTTTCCCGTTAATGCGAGCAAAGCCTGCGATAGAAGCTAGATGATATTTTATTACGATGTTAAATAGACACTTAGCTCCAAAAAGATCTTACTAGAAAACATTTTACATATTAATCTGTATAAGATTAGCTAGTAAAATAATTATTATCAATACCTTTTACTTATCATTCCTGTACCTACCAAGGTAACAACGGATGAACTTAATAAAACATATTCTTATCTTAATTATTGTATCTAAATATATGATTGTGATTTATCTAAAGCTTACTAGTTATTATTTAGATTATTTATAAAAAAACAAGCTGTAAACAGATTCAAGTCCAACTATTTTATAGACTGTTAAAATTAAAAATGTAAAGCCACTAGTTAAACCCAATTTCCATTTTCATAATGACATAATGACATTGTATTGGCGATTTTTTTAATAATTATAATATATTATTTTCGCCATACTCACGTGTTTGGCGAGGAACTCGATTAGTTTCAAGCCATGCTAGAGGCTCATATTCATGAGCAGCATTCCGCGACCCGCGACGCGGCGACTGTCGCGCTGCTACTGACTTTTTTAGGTATTAATACCTGTACCCACCATCTAAAGTAAATTTATAAATTGAGTGATCAACAATAGTTCAGTTTGTTTCATACGACTTTGATTTAAAATCAAAATATATAAAAAGGAAAAAATAAAAAAAGCATTATATTATTAATAACCAATATTTTTTAGACGACATGAATTGAAATGTAGACTTTTTTAGAAAATTATTTTTTAAACTGTCAAACACCAAGCGGTCACCGGTGACCGCAACCTATTGTTCTATAATTGTGTCTACAAAACCGGTACTCGACGAGTTAATAACCTGTGTTGTCCGTCCGTTGTGTGTCCGTATGATCGCAATTTTTTTTTTCAAAATAGTATCGCAACTTTCTATACCTAAATTAGTCGTTGTTCAAACCTTTATAATTTATATCACTTTGCCGAAATGTACCAATTATGGAAAACAGTCCAAATTATGCGTTAACGCTGTCATTAGACAGTTATTTGTTATTTCCATATGCAAATGGTTAAATGTATACTAATTATTATTTGTTAGTGGGCCTTTTAACATATGCTTTTGTTAATAGCTCAGTCGAATTTGGAACTTCTCAGGGAACGTTCCTTACGTAATAGAATTAATTCGGGTTTTTCTAGAAGTATCTATCTATACAATGATAAATCGCAGCTTTGCCGCTCGTGAAGCGAAAATTGCACGAATGGTACAGACATCATCCTATTGCTTTATTTATAAAAATAACGAATAATTCTAATAATTCTAGATAAAAATATAATCTTAAAAGTAATCCTACAACTGTCAACAACTGCTAACATACGAATTTAGACCTTATAGTGTGGTCTATAAAGTGAATTTTTGTTTAATACGAATATGTTGTTATAGGACTTCGAAGAGCGCTCCAAGTTGGACCCTGACGGCAAATCGTACTGGTCTTCTTACACCTATAACTCTAAGGATCTTGCCCTATATGCTCTTGGAAGTAAGTACAATCATTATCCTTAAGTTAACCTTCTCCGTGCGAGTAGGTGCCTTTGGTCAGCTCTTATAGACTGTTGATTTATCAACATCTACAGTTTATGGTTAAAAACCAATTTTTCTTTAAACTTTGACCGTCTTTAGTTTGCCTAGTAAGTTTTTTTTTAAACTTTGACCCAGTCTTGTATTTTCTTCTGCCGTGGGTGCGACATCATAGTCAGACCCGTAACAACAGGACAAAAATTTCTAGATCACATGTGTGTACGGTTATACCTTGGGCTCGTGTTTAAGACAACTAGAGATTACTTACAATAACAAAAATTCTTAACACGGGTTGCTAACTCGACTGTTTTATTTCTTAGTCGGAGCTTCAGTATTAAACGAGGGAGATCTGAAGTTCTTGTATGAAAGCCATGAGAACTTCGCTGGTCTGCCAACCTTCTTCATCCTGCCCGGTATGGCCATCGAGTCTCCTCTAGTCGCCAACTCTATGCCACCCGGCAAGTTCGCCGACTTCACTAACGTAAGTACCCAATTGTTATTAAGGAACTAAGTATGTCATGTTTTTATTGCGCTGGAAATTATTATTACCTAGTTAATCACATAAAATATTGATATAGCGGTACTTAATAATTTTAGTTTTGGCCAGTTATATTGATTACTAGTAGATGCCCGCGACTTCGTCCGCGTGGAATATTGATTTTGGATTTTTCTTCACAGCTCCTCTCCCGTAGGACTCCATGTGGACCTGGCCTGTTTGTAAAATTCATTCAAAATTTCAGTAAATCTATGCAATACTTTTTTAGTTGAGCCTTCGGTATCGATTGTAGGTCACGTCCCAAGTATTTAAAAAAAAATCGATGTACACTTTTGACTTTTCTACGATTTTATTATATGTATACATCAAGTTTTTTATATCCTTTATTTGAAAAAGGGATTTAATTTTAATCGCAAAGCGATGATACCAATGATTACCAAGTTCCACTTTAATAGTACCAATGAAAATATTTACTGAATATGAAATTTTGATTATAACATTGTGTTGCTTAGACCAATTCTCGGAAAAGGCTAGTTTAGCTAGTCTGAAAAAAAAAACATTAGAGAAAAATAAACTGGAAGTTAAGTTCACTAAAAAACGACGTCATCGCGTCTCTTGGATCGGATTATAAAAATTTTTGAATGTTGTGTTTATAGATCCTTCACGGAGAACAGTTCATCGAGTTCGTAGACGAGTTCCCCGGTACTGAGGGTGACTTCAAAATCCGCAGCTACTCCGTCGACACCCTGGACAAGGGATCCAGCGCCATCTCCATCGTTAACAGTGAGTATTCGAATCTTGTGTTACATCTGCCACAGAGATTTATTTATATTAGATGCTTCAACATTTTATAAGGATAAATGTATCGTGTTCTTGTGAAAATGATAGAGGAAGTCGGTAGATAGCGCTCGAGACAGACGCATGTTGGCCAAATAGATGGCATATTGAACAGGGGCCAAGTTATAACCGCCTCCAATTGACAAGGACTCCGAATTCATGTAGACAAAGCGGTTGGTGTTCCGTCCAATATACTTTCGACTTTATAACAAAACGTAAAGGTTAAAAACAAATAAATGAAAAAAAAAATTTGGTAGCTTGAAATCGGTACAAATGTTTGTAAAAAAAAAATTCATGAATAACAAGTTCATTTTAGTAAGAATCACTAGCGTGACCATGTACGGACGCACGACGACACGGAATTAATTACGTTACATATGTAATTCATTGAAATAGAATAGTAATATTAGAATTTATTAACCTTTTCGTTTAGTTGAATAATGGACATGTAAATATTTGTTACATAATAGATGCAGAAATATTTAATA